CCTGATGCTTTGCTAAGCTTGTTCTAAGTAGGTGCTTTAGACCACTGAGCCATCTCTCCAGCCCCTATATTTATTTTTTTATTTGGTGTTTTGATACAGGATCTCACTATGTACTGGCTTTGTACTCACTATGTAGACCAGCCCAGGCTGGCCTCACATTGGCAGTGATCCTCCCGCCTCAACCTCCTGAGTGCTGGGATTATAGGTGTGTGCCACCACACCTGGCTTATTTTAATTTTTCCTAGTGGTGGGAGCAGAACCCAGGGCTTTGGTCACACAAAGCAAGAGCTCCACGACTAAGTTATACCCTAGATACCCTTACAGGGTTCCCCGGGGATTACTGTGGCTACCCTTGCATGCAGCTAAGGCAGACAGCAGGCTTTGTATGCACCCCATGGAAACACATCCAGATCTATGAAGAACAAAAAAGCAACAGTGTGCACTGAGTGTAATACTGTCCCATCTCAGGGTGCACAACGGTCAAGGTCTAGACCAGTTCAGACCTAACAGACACAGGGGGATTGTTCTGAAGGGGGGACACAGGACTCAGGCAGATGGGGGCAGTGCTTTATAAGGTGGTCACACAGCTACCTCTGGACTTCCAGTATTTACGCTAACGTCTTTTCTCATTGTGACAATGAAGCAATGTCCAGGCCAGGGCTCAACACTTAAAATGAAAACAAAGATAAGGCTAGTAGATAAATATTTTACCACAACATAACATCAAGCATTCTGCATCATTAATTATTACAACTTCTCAGTTATGCTGAGCTAAACACAGGAGACTGTTCATTATACTTGGCTAATTTGTCCTTTAGAACTCAGCGGGGTGCCCAGAAAGACAACGCCCAAGCATACGGCACACTGGAGAATTCGCACGCTGCACATCTGCCACATCCGCTGGCTTCCCATGAAAACTTTTATCCTTCAAGTGTCGGGAAATGAGCCCACATGAAATAATAATGAAAACTGACTTTACTTCTGCCAAGAAATAAGGACCACGTACCGTAGGTTTGGGCAAATCCTTCGGAACATCGATGTGTAGGCTTGAAAACTGGACCCACTTCATACTGGTACTGCTGCGTGAGGAGGAGGAGAAAGCTAAGCAAAACAGCCCAGGGGTCCACTTGCAGGTTTTCCCCAGCACAGCCACTCATATACTTACAGAAGCAGGCCACGGCTCCTAGAGCTGGGTATGGAAGGATTTCTCAAAACCTTAAAATAGGAGGGAGAAGGACACGGGTCCAAATTAAAGTCAATTCCCAAATCACTCAGCGTTTGCACTGAAAATCAAAAGCTGCATAATACCTCAAATAAAGACTATCTCATCCTTTCAGAAGATGACACTGGGGGAACCTAAAGGATCAGATTAGATTCTTTAAAAAAGACAATCATAAGCTTGGAAATGAAAAGCCCTCTCAAAACATGAGAGAATCTCAATTTTCATAAAAAGCTATGAATTAAATATTTGAACACTAAGGAAAAATATATGTGCCTTTTTGCAGATTAACTGTACTTCAATATAATATTTATTAATTTTACCCAACTTTTTTTTTTTTTTTTTTTTTGTGAGGATTGACTCAGGACTCACTGAACTACTCCTGAGCTTTTCTTCATGTTTCTAATTTTTTTTTTTTTTTTTTTTTTTTGGCAGAACCGGGGATTGAACTCAGACCCTTGCACTTGCCAGGGAAGCGCTTATTCCACTGAGCTATCTCCCAATGTTTCTAAAACTTTGAGATAAAGTCTTGCTAAGTCACTGAGTTGCCCAGGCTGGGCTCCAACTTGTGATCCTAAGGCCTCAGCCTCCCAGTGCTGGGATCACATCCTGCACACCTGGCTACTTTACTTAATAACTCTTTTTTTGTTGTTGTTGCTGCGGTACTAGGAGCTATGTTGCTGAGCTATATCCCTGGCCCTGCCTGATAATTTTTAAGAAGTAAAAACTATTATGCATCTTTATAACTTCATTTATTAAGGAAAAGGGGGCTGGCGAGATGGCTCAGTGGTCTAAAGCACCTACTTGGAACAAGCTTGGCAAAGCACAGGGACTGCGGTTCGATCCCCCAGCACCACATGCCAGCCAGCTGCGCCCCCTGGTGGGCTGAGCTGGCCACACACACACACACACACACACACACA